GAAAAACCCAGTAGAAGGAATCAAAAGCATGCTAGATAAAGCAGAGAATCGAATCAGCCAGCTGGAGGAAGAGGTAGAAAAAGGCTCCCAAAAAGAGCAGGAAAATGAAAAAAACTCAAAAAAGAATGAAGAGGTATTAAGGGAAATGCAGGACAACCTGAAATGCAATGATAGTCATACAAAATGGATATTAGAAGGTGAAAATGATTAGCAACGGATAGAAAACCTGTTTGAAAAGTAATGATTGAAATCTTCCCTAATTTGAGGGGAAAAAAAAAAATCACACAAGTCCAGAGGGTTCTATTCAAGAGGAAGCCAAAGAGGCTCACTCCAAGACACATCATCATTAAAATGGAAAATATCAAAGACAAACAGAGAATCTTAATGGTAGCAATGAGAAACAGGGAGTTACATATAAGGGAGCCCCCCAAGGGCTAGCAGTTGACTTCTCAACAGAAACACTACAAGCAAGAAGGGAATGCCAAGAAATATCCCAAGTCATGAAAAACAAAGGATTGCAACCGAGACTCCCCTACTCAGAAGACTCTCAATTAAAATGGAAGGCAAAATAAGGAGATTCCCAGACAAAAGGATAAAAAAAATCCACCTCCACCAAACCAGCACTTCAAGATACACTAAAGAGACTGCTTTAAGAAGATGAAGAAAAAGAATAGGAAAGGGAGGAACACTGGTACAAAGGAAAAAAATGAAAAACTACCTATCAATAATAACTTCAACTGTAAATGGATTAAATTCTCCAATCAAAATACACAGGGTAGTCGAATGGATTAGAAAACATGACCCGCACATATGTTGCCTACAAGAGACCCACTTCAGAACAAAAGACCTACAAAGACTGAACGTAAAGGTATGGAGAAAAATATTCCAAGCAAATGCACAGGAAAAAAAAAAGGTTGGGGTAGCAGTACTTCTATCAGACAGCATGTATTTCCAAACAAAGGCCATAAAGAGACGCAGAAGGACACTTCATAACACTCAAAGGAAGAATCCAGCAAGACGACGTAAACATTGTAAACCTATATGCACCCAATATAGGAGCACCCAAATATACAAGGAAAATCTTGGACGATTTCAAGAAAGATATAGACAGCAACACACTGATAGCAGGGGATTTTAACACCCCACTATCAACAATGGATAGATCATAAAAACAAAAAACAACAAGGATATTGTGGATCTGAAGAACGCATTAAATCAAATGGACTTAACTGACATACATAGAACCTTTCATCCCAAAGTAGCAAAATACGCCATCTTTTCAAATGCACATGGAACATTTTCAAAGATAGACCACATGACAGGAAACAAAACACGCCTCAACATATTCAAGAAAACTGAAACCACAACACGCATTTTCTCTGACACAGGGCCTTGAAACGGGAAACCAACCTCAAGGAAAAAACTCAAAAATATTCCAATTCATGGAGACTAAATAGCATGCTATTAAACATTGAATACGTCGATAATGAGATCAAGGAAGAAATCAACAAGTTTCTGCAAACAAATGAAAAGGAACACACAACAGTCCAAAACCTATGAGACACAGCAAAGGCAGTCCTGAGAGGGAAGTTCATAGCAATACAGGCCTACCTTAAAAAGATACAAACATTTCAAATAAACAACCTAACCCTACATCCTCAAGAACTGGAGAAACAACAACAAAAAAAGCCCAGAACGAGTAAAAGGGAGGAAATAATCAAGATCAGAGCAGAACTCAATGACAAAGAGACTAAAAGAACAATTTAAAGGATCAATAAATCCAGGAGCTGGTTCTTTGAAAATATAAACAAAACAGACAAGCCTTTAAGCAGACTCATCCAGGAAAAAAGGGAGAGGACTCAAATAAATAATACCGAAAAAGAAAGAGAAATTACAACTGATACCACAGAAATCCAAAGATTGTAAGAAATTATTAACAACAATTATATGCCAAGGAAGTTGAACACCTGGGTAAAGCGGACAAATTTCTAGAAAAATATAATGTCCTGACACTGAATGAAGAAGCAGCAGAAAGCCTGAATAGACCTATAAAAGCTAGTGAAATAGAAGAAGTAGGAAAAAACTACTGGCACACAAAGGCGCTGGACAGGATGGTTTCACAGGAGAATTTTACAAAGTATGTAAGGAAGAGCTAACCCCTGTCTTTCTCAGACTGTTCCAAAAAATCCACAAAGATGGAAGAGTCCCAAAATCTTTTCATGAGGCCAGCACCATTCTAATTCCAAAACCAGATAAAGACACAACAAACAAAACTACAGGCCAATATCACTGAAGAACACAGATGCTAAAATGCTCAACAAAATATTGGCAAACCGCATCCAGCAAATCAATAAACATAAACAAAAGGAAAGACAAAAATTACATTATCATATCAGTAGATGCGGAAAAAGCACTTGATGGGTTACAGCATCCATTTATGATAAGAACATTCAGCTAAGTGGAAACAGAGGGGGCATACCTCAACATAATAAAGACCATATATGAAAAACCCACAGCCAACATCATACTCAATGGGCAAAAACTAAAAGCTTTCCCACTAAAATAGGGAACAAGACAAGGTTATCCGCTTTCACCACCTCTATTCAACATAGTATTGGAAGTCCAAGCCACAGGCATTAAGACAAGAAAAAGAAATAAAAGGCATCCAAATTGGAATGGAGAAAGTAAAACTGTCACTGTTTGCAGATGACATGTTAGTGTACGTAGAAACCCTATAGACTCCATCAGAAAACTCCTCAACCTAATAAGTGAATTTGACAAAAAAGCAGAATACAAAGTCGGTACTCAGAAACTGAAGGCATTTTTGTACACCAACAATGAAATATAAAGAATCAGAAATCAGGGAAAAAATCCCATTTGCTATACCAACGAGGAAAATCAAGTACCTAGGAATAAACTTAACCAAGGAGGTAAAAGACGCACTCAAGAAAACTACACAATGCTGTAGAAAGAAATTAAGGAAGACACAAATAAATGGAAGCATATACCACATTCATGGATTGGAAGAATTAACATCATCAAAATGTCCGTACTACCAAAAGCAATTTATAGATTCAATGCAGTCCCTATTAAAATACCAATGACGTATTTCACAGATATAGAACAAACATTTCAAAAATGTATATGGAACCATAAACAGCCCCGAATAGCTCCAGCAATTTTGAGAAAGAAGAACAAAGTAGGAGGGATCACAATACCTGACATCAAACTATATTACAAGGCCACTGAAATCAAAACAGTCTGCTACTGGCATAAAAACAGACACAGAGATCAATGGAACAGAATAGAGAGCCCGGAAATAAACACACGTCAATACAGTCAGTTAATAGCTGACAAAGGGGGGAAGTAGCATAAAATGGAATAAAAATAGCCTCTTCAAAAAATGGTGTTCAGAGATCTGGACAGCCACATGCAAAAAAATTAAATGTGACCACCAACTTATGTCATACACAGAAACAAACTCAAGATGGATAAAAGACTTAAATATTAGTCGCAACACCATAAAAGTCCTAGAGGAGAACATAGGCAGGAAACTCCCAGATATTCCACACAGCAATATTTTCACCATTATGTCCCCTAAACCCCTAGAGCAAGGGACATAAAGGAAAGAATTGACATATGGGACTTCGCCAAAATAAGGAACTTCTGCACAGCTAAGGAAAACATCAGCAAAATGAAAAGGGAATGAACCGTATGAGAAAATATATTTGCCAATGATACCTCAGACAGGGGTTTGATCGCCAAAATATATAAACAACTCACACAACTCCACTCCAGGAAGACAAACAATCCAACTAAAAAATGGGCAAAGGACCTGAACAGACACTTCTCCAAGGGAGACATACACAGGGCCCAGAGACATAAGAAAGGATGCTCAGCATCACTAGCCATCAGAGAGATGCAAATTAAAACCACAGTGAGATACCACTTCACACCAGTCAGAATAGCCATCATAAGCAAATTAACAAACAAGTGCTGGAGAGGCTGTGGAGAAAAGGAACCCTAGTACACTGTCGGTGGGGATGCAGACTGGTGCAGCCACTATGCAAAACAGTTTGGAATTTCCTCAAAAAGCTAAAAATGGAACTGCCTTTTGACCCAGCAATTCCACTACTGGGATTATACCCTAAGAATACCAAAACATCAATCCAAAAGAACCTATGCACCCCAATGTTCATAGCAGCACAATTTACATTAGCCAAGCATTGGAAGCAACCTACGTGCCTAACAATAACTGAGTGGATCAAAAAACTATGGTACATTTACACAATGGAATACTACGCAGCAGAACAAAAGAAACAGCCACTGCCCTTCACAATAGCATGGATGGAACTGGAGAGCATTATTCCAAACAAATAAGACAGGCGGTAAAAGACAAAAAACATACGATCTCACCTGTAAGTGGAACCTAATCAACAAAACAAACAAGCAAGAAAAATATAACCAGTGACACTGAAATAAAGAACAAACTGACAGTAACCAGAGGGGAGGTGGGAGGGGGATAATGGGGGAAAAGAAGGGGAAGGTTCAAGTCAAGGAACATGTATAAAGGACCCATGGACAAACCCAAAGTGGGGAAGGATTCAGGGTAGGAGGTGGATGTGGGTGGGACAGGGAAAAGTGTTGGCAAAGGAAAAAATATGTATAAGCTTCAAAAAAAAATAATAAATCTTTAAAAAAATTTTAGAAATGATAAATAATAAAATCTAGTTCAATCCCTGACTGGTATGGCTTCTGGGTCAGGCATTGTCTCACAAAGCTAAAATCTAGTTCAACAATAATGGCTACATACAGCAAAATCTTTATATTACCTTTGTTTTAATATAAAAACTGTTAAATACACCAAAACAAAACAGATTTTTCTTTTTGTCTGTTTTGTTTTTTACGTTTTGAAACATGATAACTGAATGTAACATGAAAGAGTATAACCCAGGTAAATGTTTTTATTTCACTATCTAACATGTTATTTCAATTGGTACCTGAGATGATAGTAGGTTACAGTCAATGAAAAGTCCTTTTCCAGTTCTATATCTTTGTATCAATCCAGCCATAATCGCTCCATATGCATACAGGCCAGTGGCCAGATCAGTCATGGCTACTCCTGGACGAACTGGATCTCCATCCTGATTTAAGAGTTAGGTTGAGAAAAAGAAAATTTAGAATTAAAACCATCATATGATTTCTCCAATAACAAAGGTCAAATAAAAGAAACAACTGTATGCGACATGTACAAAAACAAACTAAAGAAATTCCACAAACTAGTATTGTGGGTATATGTTGGTAGTGAGAATATATTTATATATTTGTACTGTATACCCAGTGAATTTCTTACCCTATACCCTACCAAGCAAACTAAACCAAACTACATGAAATAAAATATTTTTAAACATGTCTGGAATTCTTTTTAATATATTTTACCTGTTTACACCAAAAGAGAAAATAATTGAATCTGAACTTAAATGAGTCAATCTGCTGGAAAGGAAAGAGTTAAAGTATTATGAGGGCAGACCACCCCCACCAAAAAAAAGGAATTTATTCATAAAAAATTCTGTATTTATTCTTACACATTTAAACATCAGTCACCTTCAACGTGCTCCCCATTTGATGCAATACACCTATCAAGACGTTTTTTCCACTATTCAAAACAATTTTTGAACTAGTTGATTTTCATACCCTTTAGTGCTTCTGCCAGTTTTTGTTTCACCTCTTCCACTTCAGCAAAACATTTCCCACTGAGGACTTTTCTCATCCTGGTCAGCCTCAAACAACGCCAGCTGGTCCACTGATACACATGTGTTCCTAGAACACTCACCTAGTGGGGAAGCCTATACTGCATGGGGCCTGCCTTCCCAAAGATAATTCTGTTTTGTAGGGGTATCCTCCCTTATATTTTGTTTTTCAATGGTGGATAGAAGGATCTGCTGGCTGGGGCTGCTGGGGGCGGGGGCGCGGAATAGATCTAATTTCCTTATAAACATGGTACTAACTGGCAAATATACTAATAGTGTTGGGTTTAATAAAAAGACCTGAACCCAAGATGGCAGCAGATTAGGTTCAAGTTACACTAACTTCCTCCCAGGACCAAGATTGGAGACAACTAAATTAAAGAAATATCATCTTCAATGAACAAATGAACTAGCTGGAGAGAAGCCTGATAACCAAGGACTTGTGTTAGAAGCCACATTGAGACTGGCAGGAAGTACAGAAGCATGAAAGGGCTGGCTGGGCTCCCATGGGCAGCAACTGAAGTGCGAGAGGCATATCTCCCCTGTGGAGAGATATCTACCCCTGAGAAGTAAGGGGTCTAAACACCAAGCCAGGTCACACAGCCTAGAGAACAAGAATGGGGAAAGGCTCCCACATAATATCTGGCTGTGCAAAGCAGTGAGATTTATATCTACCAGATAAAAATGGCTAGAGATGCAGCCATACTCTTAAAGGGACAATACACTAAATTTCATTTGCAGCCGCTTATCTGGGCTTCAGTAGAGAGAAGAAAGGGTTGACTAAATCCATACAAGGAGAGCTTGGGGTTGGTGACTCTGAGGAGAACTGAAGGGTCAGCCTCCAGGATCCCAGGACACAGTCATTCCCCCATACTGCAGAAGCCATCTTTCTTGGGACAGCACTCCTCTCCATGAGGCAGCACCATGGGGAAAAGCAACAGCCCCAACTGAAAGAATCCATCTTGCTTCACCCTGTGGAGGAACAGCCCTGCTGGACAGTACAGCTGGAGGCTCTTCAGTGACCAAGCCTAACAGGCAGCCTGCAGATGAAGGCATAGAGGTGCTTTGAGACTTTTACTGACCCACCCCCAGTATCAGTGCTCATAAAAGCCTGTCTTGCTGCATAGCGTGGTCCTTTCCATGCACACCCAAGCACAGCAAGGGAACCACAAACTGTGGATCACTAATGGCTCCAAATGGGTTGCCCAGGGACAGTCTCAGGCAGTATCTAACATAGGTGTGAACCACTCTTTGTAGGTCTACTTAATACATTAAAAAAAAAAAAAAAGCCAAAATGGGGAGACAAATAAACAGGCCCCAAATTAAAGAACAAGAGAATTCTCCAGAATAAGAACTAAATGAAATGAAGGCAAGCAATTTATCAGATACAGAGTTAAAGTAACAATTTAAAAAATGCTCAGCGAGCATGAAAAAAACATGCAAACCATAAAAAGGACCAGTCAGAAATAAAGAATGCAATATCTGAAGTGAGTAATACACTGGAAAGAATAAACAATAGGTTAGATGAAGCAGTGGATCAAATCAGCAATTTGGAAGATGACAAGAAATGAGCAACCAGAATAGCAGACAAGTAGGTGGAAGCTGAGTCCACTTGCTCTTGCACTCAGCTCAGATACTTGACTGATCTTTCAAAAAGTAAACTGAACATTCAATGGAATCTTAGCTGATATGAAGGTTGGAGGCCAAGGAGTACAGAATATGTTTCACAATGGGCAGTAAGGCAATTTTATGGGTGGAAGGGGAAATACCCTATGCTTGAGGCCTGAAGCCATAGAGAGCCCAGTCAAAAATCCGCAGCTTTGCAGCTCCCTCACTCCCATGGCAGGGAATACCCAGACCCTGGCCATGAGTGACCTGGATACACAAAGTTGGGGGGATCCAGGATACACACATACACAGTGGGAAGCACACCCATAGTTGCAGTGGCAAACGCCAGCCAGGAGAATGCCAGTGAGAGAGAGGGATACTATCTGCACTTGGATTGGAAGAGGCTGGCTTTTGCCAGCCATGACTACAAGAGATCCTGACTTTCTGGGAGAGACTGTGAATAGCTGGAAAGCCAGAGAGTGACTCAGGGCTACAGTGGGAGTGCCCACAGAGACTTTTTAAAAGGGCAGCTGCCCTGCCAGCAAGAGGAAAGGATTTAGAGAATGGTTTGCTCCCACTCAGTGCAGCTGGGCAGATTGATTAGAAAGGGGCAAAGCGAGGGGATTTCTTGGCCCCAGCCCAACACAGCTGGCAGGGCAGATGCTGCAGAGAGTGGAGAGGGCAGGGCTCTGTATGGTACGAGGAGAGTGGGCTGGGAACTGTGCACCTGAGTTTATTTAAAGCCATACAGAGCCCTGTTACCCAGCAGAAACTCCAGGGTAATCACACCCAGCCCCCTCTACTTGCAGAACAGGAAAGCTCTACAAAATAAGGCAGGGCAGGCTCAAGACCCTGAAGGGTGCATTTCCGCAACAGGAAGACAGCAAAAGGAATGCCTAAAGGGCCCATTTTGAACTCCTCTCAGGGAGACAACATAAACTGCATCCTAGGGCCCTTTTCACTCAAGCCACCAAAGTGGGAAGAACAGAAAGCAGTTCAGCAAGGGAGAGTCAGGGGCCCACTCAGCCTCAGCTCAAACACAGAGCCGCCCTCAACACTAAGCAAGAGAGAGAGGAACCTCTTACATACATTGCACCTCCCTATGAAACAGACAGTTAATTAATTGAAACTATGCATTATTCAAAGTAAACTGGGACTTGCCAAGAAGGGTGGTACAGGGGCAGAGGGAACACAACCACAATTTTCCCAGAAGACTGAACAGTGCCTCTCAGGGGAAACCTTGGGTCCCACCTTCCCAATCACAACAGAAGCTCCCTGTGTGAAGCAGGTGAAAGTGGTATAGGCAGTGTTGCCAGAAGGTGGACAACACACCCTGGACCTTGAGTGGATAAAACACCAATGGCAATCCAGAAGTCAGAAGATAAACACCAAACAGCTGAGATAAATTTCACCTTGCTCTTCTTCAGAATTTGCATTTTTTTCTTCCTTTCACCTAGCCTTTTAATATTTCTTCTCTTGCTTCAGTTATATTCCAACTAATTTAATACGCTTTGTGTTTTAATTTTTATTCTTTTTATACAGATTTAATACTTTTTTTATTTTATTGTTATTTCCAATCTCACATTGCACCCTTCCCTTGACTTACTCCATTTTGCCTTCTTCCAACTCTTTATTTTCATTATAAATTTTACTCTCTTCCACACTACACCTTATTCCTATTCCTTATTCTATTTCTCCTCTGCCATTTCAAAAGCATTCTTCCTTCCTTTAATCAGCTCACATTACCTTTCCCACTCTTATAATATTCTTATTTCCTTTCCACGTATGTAAATTGTGCCCTGCTGAGCATGGATGTTATACTTATTGCTGTACTTCTTCAGTGGTATTCCTATTTGTTTACTATATTTTGTACTTCAAATCTCATAGGTTACTCTCTCCCTGTGTCTTACTCCATTTTGCCTTCCCCCTGCCTTGGTATATTTGAGTTAGGAATTTGATTTTACTTTCCACTTTCGTAAGTCTGGATTCTATTCCTTAGTCTATTTTTCCTCCCCCTATTCTCTCAAACCCATTTTTCTCTACTGTAGATACTGTATATATTCTTTGTTCTTTTGTATGATATTCTTTATCTTTTTCATCATTTTATTTTTTTATTGTTGCTCAATTGCAGTTGTCCTGCCTTGTTCCCTGTTGCTCTCCCCTACCCTATCCTCACAGTTCCACAGGCAATCCCTCCCACTGTCCATGTACATGAGCCCTCTGTTCCTGTTCTTTTGTTTGCCTTTACCCGTCTTTCACCTGTAATCCCCCACCGGTCCCTCTGGTCACTGTCATTTTATTCTTTATTTCCAAGTCTCTGGTTCTATTTTGCTCATTTGTTTGTTTTGTTGATTTGGTTCCACTTATAGGTGAGATCACACAGTATTTGTTATTCACTGCCTGGCTTATTTCACTTAGCATGACATTCCCCAGTCCCATTCATGGTGTCATGAAGGGTAAGGGTCACTCCTTTCATTCTACTCTGTAGTATTCCATTGTGTAAATGTACCACAGTTTTTTCATCCATTCATTTACTGATGGGCACTTAGGCTGTTTCCAGCACTTGGCTACTGCGAACAACGCTGCTATGAACATGGGCTGCAGATGTTCTTTTGAATTGGTGTTACAGGATTCTTAAGGTATAGTCCCAGCAGTGGAAATGCTGGATCAAAAGGCAGTTCCCTCTTTAGTTTTTTGAGGAAATTCCAAACTGTTTCTCCACAGTGGCTGCACCAGTCTTCATTATTACCAATACGGCCAAAAGGGTTCCCTCTTCTCCACAACCTCAC